GGCATGTGTCACCATGACCAATCATAAATTTCTTTACTTTGTGATTGTTTTCAGTAAAACGTTGAAATTTCAGAGGGGGTGTGAAATTTTATTAGTTTGTGAACATTTACAGTAAAACATTAAAATTTCAGAGGGGGGGCATGGGATGTCTCAGTGTAAGAGGGATTGATGTACAAACATGTAGATCTGAGTTCATCACACAAGTAAAAGCAGGTGAGTGTGGCAGTGCACCTGTAATTCTGGTACAGGGAGAGGGAGAGACAGAAGGACAACCAGGGCTGGGAATTATAAAATTCCAAGCTCCAGGTTTAGTAAGGGACCCCAAATTAATGAAATAAGGAAGACAGGAATAGAGGCTACAGGTGCCCTATGGCCTCTGCATGAGCATCTATTGGTGTGTACACATGTCCACACGCATGTACACATATCCATACAACACATGAATTGATAAATAGAAATGAGAAGTAATACACATTTTTGGACATCTGGAAGCTTGAGAGAATTGTAGTATATGTAAGTTTGTTGTTAATTTACAAGTGTATTGTAAATATGCTATAAATCATTAAATTATTCAACAATAAGCCAATAGAGAAACATAATGAATAAAAAATGCCTATAGCTATAGAGACACAGAAAATACATAAGGATGGTCTATGACTTTTTCTTCTTCTCCCCCTTTGTTCCTTCATTCCTTTTTTCTTTCCTTCCCTCCTTTCTTCTTTTCATTCAAGAATTTTCAGGCATTCATTTTCTATTTCAGAATAATTTTATACTAATGGAAATATTGATAATACTATTAAGACATCAAATATATACATGAGACCCTATCTTTATTCCTGCTGCCAACTAAATAACTCACATCAAAGCTAAGCCAGTGCATCTCTCAACATCAGAAAAGCTTTTATAGCAGTAGATATTGCTGCACATTGAGACCCACAGTAGTTGGGGTGTAGAAAGTGGGTGACTGCAGAGTGCTCAACCCTAAATGAAACAACCATAGTAAACACCCCTTGGAACACTCAGTATCACATCAGAAGAGAAAATTCCAAGAGTGAAAAAGGCAGATGTGCTGAATGATTACAAGAAAACAGCATTTGAAGGACATTTGTACATATGAAATCATAGAAATTGTGATATCATCTACAATACTTATACAAGCTCAAGTCATAAAAAATCCCAGCACTGGTGGAAGGTGCACAGAATCCCACTCCTAGCTGAAGAGCTATTTTAAGTGATAACTGCTGGATAGGGATAGCTTTTTTAATGTTAACCATGCTTCTGTGGATGGTCCACCATCAAGAGTGAATATTTGAGTAGGACAAATTACAATAAATGAGATTTAAAAACTGAATGAGGCCTCAAAGTTGAATCAGTATGGAATTAGGAAGTGGACTGAGAGGAAATAGCTGAGGGGAATTAATATTATACAAATATAATGTATGAAATTATCAAAGAATTAACAAAATGTCTTTAAAAGCCCAAGCAGCCATATTTGGCTTTATTATTGTTATTTGTATCCTGTGTTTTATTTAGTTTTTATTTTTTTAATTGAGCAGTACATTTTCCCCAGTCCCCTTCCCTCCTCCACTCAACCCTGCCTCCACCCCCTGCCCACCATGCTCTCAATTTACTCAGGAGATCTTGCCTTTTTCCCTTTTACTTAACTTTTCTCATACTAATTTTTATTCTTGAGAATTCCTTCCTAGTTATATAATTGAAATTATTTTCTATGGCATCTTGAGCTCATGTCTATTATCTAGTTTTCAGTGATAGTATAGTAGTTATATAATTTTCAACCCGTATCCTTATAAAATCAACCCTTTCAACTATTCTATAAACTAGAGTAAAGCAATTATTATGTAGCTTATTTTATCTTTAATCCTACAATTGATACTCTTTTCTATCCCATTCACTGTGGTTATATTTTAAAATGTCACCATACAATAAGAAAATAAATGAATAACAAATTTTTAAAATGTTTTTCTAAGATTTTATTTTACTTCAACTTATGTTTCTATGTCTCTGTGTGTATGTGTATTAATGTATGGGTGTCCAATGAGGCCAGAAGAGGGCATGGGATTTTCTGGATCTAGAGTGACAGGCCATTGTGAGATACCAGACATGGGTTCTATGAAATGAACTTACATCCTCTGCAAGAGCAGTATGTATTCTTAACTGCTGAGTCATTGATGCAGCTCCAGGTTAGCAACTTTTAATCACAATTACAAATCCAAACCTTAATAAAACTGAAAAAAGACTAGATTCGTGTTCTCCAGTATTTCAGAAACATTTTCAGATTGGAAACTGTTGTAAAATCTTCCTACAATCATATTTCTAGGACTGGTCTAGGGTTCTAGCCCCTAACTTAATTGTTGTTACAACTTCAACAAAAGAATTGTACTCCTGGGAACTAATGAGAGTGTTATATAAAGGACACTAAAAGAAATTTTAATTGTTCTTGTCTCACAGCAACTTATCCCTTGTGGAAAGAAACCTTGAGAGAATTTCCTTTTACATATATTTTTAATGAAAACTCACTACAAAATGCTATGTGACAACAACATCATTCAGGTAAGTTCTTTGGGAAGCTATGAGGGCAATCAGGATGATGGATTTGTACAAGCATATAAAATACCCAGAATTGTAGATTTGCCTTCGGATACCTTAAAATCAGGAAAGCCTATGGCTTTACTTTGTTATTATCAGCATCACCAAAATGAATAGCAATTTCACAAAGGAGACCTGAGCCTACATTTCATGTTTCATAATGAGACAGGTCCATGTTAAAAAAAAAGTTAATGTTTATTGTATTTTTCCTGACACCATTCTAGCTCAGAATTTTAGAGGCCCACCATGAACTCTACACCACAAATACTGTAAAAATTTCTTTGTGCTAGCTAACAGTGAACACTCATATTTCCAAATGACACATCAAAAGACAGGACAGACCTGACCATTTTCATATTTCTGCCTATACTTATTCCATTTGTAAAAGTTTTGATGTTTGCAAAATTGCATTTAAAGTAACATATGATAAATGTAATACTGATTTGTTACTGGTTATGCAAATACCATGTACAAGTTACATTTATATGAACAGTTTTAGTGGATAATTTCAATTTACAAAAACTGTTATTAAATACACATACAAATCAATATGGTTCATTCAGTATTGTTTGACTTGGATGTCTACTGTTCTTGTTGTGTCAGATCCCCTGTTCCTCTAAATAAATCTTTTGAAATGACTGAGTTACTAACCTTGCAATTCTTATGAAACAAAGCTTTAACCCCAAACCCTATTATAATACTTGCTATCACTGAAAATTTTGAAGACTTAATTTACTTCTTTTAATCTTGCTAGCCTTAGTTTCCATTTAAAAGGCATCCAGTGGACCCAGCCTGGGCCAGTGTACAGCAGCCACACCCCTGTGAACCTGCCATCATGATGTACTGATGGTCTGCCTCCCTGCCCCCTTCTGCATTAGAGCATTTTGAGGAGTAAATGTCGCCAATATATTTCTTCACTCCCTTAACAATACATACTGTCCTTTTATTTCAACTTTTCCAATTGGTATGAAATATTTTCCTTTATGGTTTTTATTTGAAGTTCCTTAACAGCCAGTGGTAACACAGATATTTGTCAAGTGATTATTGGCCATGTGTGCATCCACAAGGGAGGAATGACTATTCACATCTTCTCACCATTATAAATAATATTTGTCATTTTAATAGTTATGTTGTGTGAGTACTTTATTACAATACCTATAATTTCATCTTCAGATTTGTTCCTTGAAATCTTTTCTCATTCTGTGTGTCATCTTTTCAAGTTATATGTTGTACCTTTAAAGCACTTTTAATTTTTCATAACGCTCAGCTTACTAATTTTGTATGATTATCTTTGCTTTGAGTAACTTACATAAGAACTATTATCAATTCCAAGCTTGCAAAGATTTAGTCTTTGGGGCTTATCATGTTATTGTTGTTGTTATACCTTTGTCTTTTATGTTCATTTCCAGGAATCATTTTAAATTAATTTTATTGATTAAAATGAGCTATCTAATTATTCCACAACAATATGATGAAAAATTACTTTCCCTACTGAAATGTCATAAAATCTTTACGCTGTGTTATTTCTTCAAAGATGTCTGTTTTTACAACAATAATTTCTTTTCATATTGCACCTATGCTTAAGTCAACAGGATGTAATCTTGATAATGTAACACTTAAGCAATTTCCAAGTTAGATAAAGGAACATCTCCCACTTAATTCTTGCCTTTCAAATTTACTCTGATTTTCCTGGTCCCCATATGTGTTCTAGGTATTCTGTGGCCTATGTGTCAGTATCTACAATAACAGAGATGTGACTTCATAGATTTTGGACTGAATTTGTATGGTATTTTAGAATTTTTCCATTTTTATTATGCTGTATCTTTGATTTCCATTTACATAGTTCTTTAATTCCCCTAGATTCCTTGTGGTTCTCAGTACAATGTCTTATATTTTCCTTGACTAATTGCCAAAAATAAAAGCTCTGATTCAATACTGAATGAAGTAAAAGAATTTTTATTTACTTGTAACTTGTTACCATGGGAGGCTTCCACGAGTGTTGGTTGGGATCTCTTGTGGATGGTATATATATTTGAATATGAAATCTCCATATACATTAGATGACCATGTTATATATATGGCATATATAGTACTTAGGAAACAAAATCAAAGTAAGCACACCTATTCTTCAGGTAGTTGGGACCAAGTACAAACATACTATTCTGGGATTGAACAGAGATTAATGTAGATGGCTTAGGTCTAACAGTTATTTGTTTGCATGTTCCATATTTTAGGGTATCACAATTTTTTGTTATATAGCATACTCAAGTTATTATTAGAGAATTGGAAATACATGTCCTGAAAGACTTAAATTCTTTATTACATTTCAATGTATGGAACGACAATAAATATCTAACTTTTTTTCACTTCTTAAATAGAACTCCCAGGAAGAAATGGCAGAAGGCAATCAGTCTACAGTGACTGAGTTCATCCTTGCTGGATTAACAAACAAACCAGAGCTGCAGCTGCCCCTTTTCCTACTCTTCCTTGGAATCTTCCTGCTCACGGTGTTGGGGAACCTGGGAATGATCATCCTGATCCTGCTCAGCTCCCACCTGCACACCCCCATGTACTTCTTCCTCAGCAGTCTGTCCTTCATTGACCTGTGTTACTCCACTGTCATCACCCCCAAAATGCTGGTGAACTTTGTAATAGAGAAGAATGTCATCTCCTACCAGGAATGTATGACCCAGCTCTATTTCTTCCTTGCTTTTGTTATATCTGAGTGTCACATGTTGGCTGCGATGGCATATGACCGCTATGTTGATCCTTTCCATTATCCCTTCTTACATTTTCATTATTGCCAGCATCCTCCGCATTCAATCCACTGAGGGCAGGTCTAAAGCCTTCAGTACTTGCAGTTCCCACATCTTAGCTGTTTCTGTCTTCTTTGGATCTTTAGCATTCATGTATCTGCAACCATCATCAGTGAATTCTATGGACCAAGGGAAAGTGTCCTCTGTGTTTTATACTACTGTTGTGCCCATGCTGAATCCCATGATCTACAGCCTGAGGAACAGGGATGTCAAACTTGCTCTAAATAAGTTATTCCAAAAAAAGAAGTTCTATGTGTAAAGACATATTCACATAGCAAAATATACCATATCTAGGGGTTTGGAAAGAGTCCTGAGACAACAATGTGTGTCCATGCATGAGAATACTGGTGGTTCAGGGAGGAATGGATTTACAAGTTCTTACACAAGGAAAAGGCAATTCTTGAATGTTCCAAAGTTTACCTACAAAGAGTAGCCTGTGAAACCTATAAATACAAGTTTAAATATATTAAAATATTTTATGGTTCATTTTGCTTTATATTTATAGAGTGTGTTCTGTTAGCTAAGTTTAATTATCTTATTTGGTGAGTAAATAACATTTGGTCATATCTTTTTGTATTTTCAATATCCTGACTATATGGAACTTCTCAGTGAAGTGTACTGCCCAACCACTGAAAGTCTGATCTCTAAAATAAATAATTTTCACAAAAATACAAAATTTGATATTTAAGTCTTATTAATTGTGTAGGTCTATATTAGATAATATAGAGAAATAAAGATATAGTATTTTTCTTACCACGAATTAAGTAATATAATTGTGTGATGGACTCACATTACAAATATAGCTGCATACATTGACACATATTTGTTCAGGATCCTCAATACAAGTTTTGTACTGTGATAAGTAAATGGCCACACAAAGCAGATTCAATGTTATTTTTGTAGATCTTTTGCCTCATAATGCTTTTTTAAGCATTTTTTTTTACTTTACTGCTTGTATCTTTACTGCTTATATTTTTGTTTGTATCTATGGTTTTCTATTTTGTGTTTTTAGTGTGTGTGTGTGTGTGTGTGTGTGTGTGTGTGTGTGTATGTGACTGCACACATTTCTCCTGCTGTGTCTTTTCTTTGTTTTTGTTCATTTGTTTTGCCTTTTCTTGTTTATTAATTTATTTTTATTTGATTGTTTTCTTAACATGGAGAGAAAATAGGTGTGGGATTGAAAGCATGGAGAGTTGGGGAGGATATGGGGAAAGTGAAGAAGAACAAACCCTGTTATATTTGGTTTAAAAAAATATTTTCAGTTCAGGGAACTAAGATTGATATGTAAAATAAGGTTGTTTCTAAACTAAATGAAATATAGAATAAAAATAATTAAAATTTTAAAGAAAGAAAATATCATTTTTCAATAAAAAATCTGTTTTCTTGATAATTTGGTATTAATTTTCCCTATGACCAAGAGATAGTTTTCAACACACATTATAAAATCTCATATTCATGCAGGCCATTCATTTTATTTTCTTTAAGATTTTTATTTATTATGTATACAACATTCTGTTTCCATGTATATCTGCACACCAGAAGTGGGCACCAGATCTCATAATGGATGGTTGTGAGCCACCATGTGATTGCTGGGAATTGAACTCAGGATCTCTGGAAGAGCAGTCAGTGCTCTTAACCTCTCAGCCATCTCTCCAACCCCCAGACCATTCATTTTCAAATGCAAACTTTGGGTTATTAATTAATATGAATAAGTTAAAACTTCTTTTTTTACTAATGACAAGTAGTGCTCAAACCCCAAAACTGCCTAAGAAAACAAACAAAACATTCCTGTAGATTCCAGCTGACCAGAAAAGAACAGCCTTGTTTGAACAGGACAAGAACCAAAGGACACGTGTACAGACTCTCTCTCTCTCTCTCTCTCTCTCTCTCTCGCTCTCTCTCACCCTCACACACACACACACACACACACACACACACACACACACACACACACACACTAGTTCTTTGAGAACTTCGTACAACTTGGTTTTTATGTCTTATCCCCCATATTCTTGGCAGATTCACTCTCTTCTCTACACACTCAACTCTAGTCCTTTTATTTGTTTTAAAAATGCATGGGAACATAGTCCACTTTCCAAGGACTGCATACACTCCTAGAGTTAACTGACTATCTCCCAGAAGCCATCAATTTCCAATAGCTTCTCAGCTAGTGGTGGAACTTCACTCCTGCTCCCATTATAGGTTAATTCCATTCAATTAATATATAAATATGTAAAAGCTTCTACAGTAGTAGGCATGTTTCTTTAATATTTAAATTATGTTTAGTAATTTTACTTTTTATATAAGTGTGTGGCTTATATGTTCATAAGTACACTACATGTATGCTTGGTGTCCAGAGATGTCAGATTCCCTGGCCTGGAATAGGAGTTATAGGTGGTTGTGAACTACGATGTGAGATCTAGGATTCAAATCTGTTTTCTCTACAAGAGTAACAAGTGTTCTTCACCACTGAGTAATCTCTCCAGCCCTGAAGTTGGTAGGTTTCTAAATGACTTTATCAAGAGATCTTTAGTATAGTATTTATCTCTACCAACTCTCGATCATCTATCCTGCCTGCTCCTCTCCTACCCCTATTTAACACTAACAATTCCCTTATACTCCTTCAAATTTAAACAACTGATGTCCATATCCCCTCAATACCCACTCAGGAATTTCCTGATCTTTATGCATATTCTAAATAAAGTGCACTTATCTGATGTTTCAAAGCTAACATCCACAATGAGGGAAAAAATAAGACACTTGCCTTTCTGGATGTGGGTTATTGCACTCAGAATTTTATCTGAGAATTTCATAATTTAGTTTTTCTTCACAGCTGAATAACATTTCATTGTGCAAATCTACTTCATTTTCATTATCAATTCATCTGTTGATGTACATATAAGCTGTTCCAATTTCTAGTTATTGGGAATAGAATAGCAATAAACACTGATGAGCAAGTAATTCTATAGTAGGGCATGAAACCCTATGGTATATGACTAAGAGTGGTATAGCCATATCATGTGGTGGATCTATTTCTGAATGATAGATTTGTGAATAGCCTCCCCATTGATTGCCACAGTGGCACAACAGATTGTACTCCCACCATCAGTTAATAAGTGTTACCATATTCCCCATACATGTCAGAATTTGCTGTTATTTTTTGTTCACTTAGCCATTGTTACTGAGGTAAGATGAAATCCCAAAGGAGTTTTAATTTTTATTTCTTCTATATCATGAATCTTTTAAAAATATTTCTCTGTAATTTTATTTCATCTTTTGAGATGTTTAATTCGGAGCCTCCTTTTAAATTAGGTTTGTTCATTTAAGTTTAATCGATTGAGTTATTTGAAAATTCTAAATACTAATCATCAGTCAGATGTTAGGATTTTTCCTATTCTGTGGGATTCTTCTGAACTAGATTCACAGTATCCTTTGCTGCAAAGAAGCTTTTTGGTATCAAAGATCCCATTTGTTAATTGTTTATCTTAGTGCCTGCACTATCAGGGTCATGTTCAGAAAGTCCTTTCATGTGTCAATGAATTCACACATACTTTATACATTCTCTTCTATCTGGGCTATCTTTTCTTATATTGAGGTCCCGAGTCTATTTGGTGTTGAGTTTTGTACAGAAAGAGATTAGAATAGAGTTTCAGTCTTCTACATATAACACTCCAGTTTTTACCAGCACCATTCGTTAAAGATCCTAACTTTTCTCCAATACATATTAACCTCATTGTCAAAAATCAGGTGGCCATATAAGTGTGTGCTTAATGAGGTCATCAGTTCTCTGCATTGCTCAATGATTCTGTTTTTGCGCTAGTATGCTTTTTTTTATTACTATAGTTCAGAAATAGAACTTAAAATCTGGCATGGAGATACCTACTGCAACTATTAATGCTCAAGTTTGTGTTTGCTAGACTGTTTTGTATTTCCACATGAAACTTAAGAGTTTTTTTTTAAGTTTCTGTGAATAACTACTTTGGAATTTTAATAGAGATTGCATTGAATCTATAAATTGTCTTGGTAGGATGACATTTTCACAATATTAATCATGGTTGGCCTTTCCATGTTCTAGAATTTTCTTCAGTTTCTTTCTTCAGTGTCTCAAGTCATTGTACAAGTTTTTAATTTCCTTGGTTAGATTTATTCCAAGATTTGTTGTTGAGACTGTTGCAAATGACATTGTGTTCTTGATTTGTTTTTCAATAAGTTTTTCACTTGTATGTAAGAAGGCTACTCTTTTGTTGTTCATGTTAATTTTATAGCCTGCACTAGATGCATTTATCAACTGTAATAGTTTCTGGTTGCGTCTTCAGCAAGTTTTATATATAAAAATATATTCTTTTTTGGTTTGTTTCTATGTGATCCTCTGAGCCCAGTGAAGGTATGTACCACAACTTACAACTGCCTATAACCATTTAACATATCCCATTAAGTTACTTTTTTATTAATTTAATTTTTAACATTTTTAATGTGGAACACAATGGAGTCAAAATTAGATTGACAGCAAGAAGCCAGTGCTCATTTGCTCAGCCAGGCAGAAGAGGGAAAAGGGGAGAGCCACATGTGTGGGTCCCTGATATTTAAAGCATTGCTACATCACTCTGACCATGCCCATGTGTCAACCCCACATCACCTGTGTCAACCCTGAAGCAGGCATGGTCAGCATTTCCCCCTACAAATTTTCATACAATATATTTTATTCATATTCTTTCATTTCTTTCAACTGTTCCCAGAATTTAAGTGGAGTCATGATAAAAGGAGGAAGACACCATTCTAACTAGATATCTTATGCCACAAAGTAAAACTTCCAGTGTCAGGAAAGGATTATATCTCATTGAGTTGTTGACCAAAGGGGTCCCTTAAACTCCTCCATCAAATATCACAGGCTATTGCTAAGGCTATTACTTACTCTCTATATCCTTATGGTAAGGCTCTGATGCTGAGGACACGGCTTTTTATGTCATAGAACTTGGAGAAGCAAAGCTGATGTTCAATGAGAGGTTTCACTCCTA